ATTATAGGTGTTAATCTGTTTGCAAATATATAAATAAATAAATACACAGGCCACAAAACATGTAACATGTAACGTTAACAACGTAAAGCTTTGAAAAATCACTATGGTTTGCTAAAAAAAACTTTCACTTTATGTGGTGCAGTACCGGTACCGAAGTTATTAATCTCCTTTGGTTTTAATTTTTTTTTTTTTTTAGTTTTCGAAAATCAAAGTTATTTCCCATTAATAGCACTATTTGTAAGCAGCTTTTAATGTTAACATATTAACGACAGTTTGAAGAAACCGCCTTTATCCAAACAAAGGTTTCTTATTTAAAAGATTACGTAATCCCTAAACAATAATCGGTACATATATCTAGCAAACATTCGGAGGAAATGTGAAGAAAAACGCACAAATCTGGGGTTTTGTACGTTTGTAGTTTTATTTCCTAAGTAGGAAAAGTACCGATATCGTTGTCGAAATTTAAATAAGTAGAAACCAAAAGTGACACATTGGAAAAGCGAGTTTAGCTACATCTGTTAAGTTAAACCTCTGTTACGGTACGATCACAGCGAAATCAGAAAGATCTTCCAAGATCGCAGCAACATCCACGATCACCCACTGACTGCAGTTGTGATTTTTTACTTTGCACTTAACACAACTGTCCTTGAAGCGCCGTCAATGAGTGGAAACCTTTGTAAGCTACGGTATTGGTGACGATGATTAAAAAAATGTAAGTTTCCTTGCACTAATACATCACTGATTCACGGTATTTTCCCCGGTTATCAAAACTCAAGAACAATCGTTGCACTTGCGATTAATTAAAGCTGATAAGTAAGGCACAACGTTTTTAATCTCACTTGGTTTGGATGTGCTGACAAAACTTGATCGGAAATGGTTGCGGTATTTGTAAACAACTTTGAATGTAAACATATCAGTGACAGCTAGAAGTGAGAACTAATCCAAACAGCTGATCGTTATTTCATAAAATGTAATAGTAAACATTGGGAGACAATTTGAAATAATTTATAAATAAAAATACTTTTTTAAAATAAAACGTTTTTAAACGTACTAAAAGTATAAAATAATTTATAAAATGTTGAGAGAATAAATACTTGTAAGATTTAAAACGAAAAACGTGGGGCGCATGCTGATTTAAATTCACCTATTGAACTATTATGATCTATTGCATGCGCCCCACGTTTTTCGTTTTAAATCTTAAGTATTTATTCTCTCAACTTTTTATAAATTATTTTATACTTTTTAGTACGTTTAAAAACGTGTTATTTTAAAAAAAGTATTTTTATTTATAAATTATTATCTAGTTTTTAGTCTTTAATGTGTAAATATGTTAAACCTATTTTATATTGCCTCTTAATGCATAACCAAAACCCAAAACCTTATTATCTGTAATCAGATGTTTTATTTTTACTTTGAAATGATTGTTTTATATTTTTAGAATATCTCGGGAGCAGAACCTGTACCTCTTAACCTCTGCCCTTCTAACTGTCAAATTTAAGTATTTACAGCTGACTTGAATTAATTTATAGGTTTACATTCTTTTAAAATGTAAACATGGAAAATTTGGAAGCCAAAGGGGCGTAGCCCAAGGGAAATATGAAAATTAAATTATATAATATTGCATTGTCATCCATTTGTGAGCTATGTTTCAAGTTTCAAGTCTCTAGCTCATCGGATACTTCGTTTAAAATTGATATAAAAATTTGTAGGAAAGCGAGCTAATAAAAACAAGCCCTTGGGGCGTAGTCCAAGGGAAATATGAAAATTAAATGATTTAATATTGCATTGTCATCGATTTGTGAGCTATGTTTCAAATTTCAAGTCTCTAGCTCATCGGGAAGTATCAAAATTTGCAAGAAAGCTATTTAATAAAAACAAGCCCATGGGGCGTAGCCCAAGGGAAATATGAAAATTAAATTATATAATATTGCATTGTCTTCCATTTGTGGGCCATGGTTCAAGTTTCAAGTCTCTAGCTCGTCGGGAAGTTAGTATAAAATTGATTTCAAAATTTGTACCGGACAAGAAAGCGAGCTAATAAAAACGTTTTAAAAATCGATCAAAATTGGGTTTTTGGTGGTTTGTTATTTTGTTTTCAAAGAAGAGAGGCCATGTTTTTATAGCCAAAGACACTCTCGCCAATCCAGTAAATACAGAAAAATGATTAGAACCTTGATCGGTACCCTAGTTTTCTAGGAGTAGGCCGCGTAAAATGACATTTTGGCGTTACAGACGCAGTCACAGAATGGACAAACAGACAAACAGACATACAGACAGAAATTGAGATAAGACTCGTTTCGGCTTTCTTGGGCTATGAAACGTAAAAATAACCAAAAAATGCATGATTCTAAGCAATGTACAGACAAAACTGTAATTTTATTTATATAAATAAATCATATGTTATTTATTGATTAAATCATTGACTATTGGATACAGAAGATTAAATATAACTTTTGGCTGTCGTCAGACATTGAGGGCAAAATGAGGGTAAAACATGAGTCTACAGAGCTTTCTTTTGACATAGCAAACAATACAGTATATTAACCCAATGATCAAGGAAAATTCGGTCTAGTTTCGAACCAACAAAAAGCTACTAGCATTCTCAGGGCCGTTAACAGTGACAATTATTTTATCCAGCTATAAATACTGTGGTCATTGTTATAGATCACTCTACACACCATTTTTTTAAAATATCTAGATTTTAGCAACTCAAAATTACGTATTATGGTTTACAACCATAAAACCACTCACACCAGAGCTTGTGTCGCCAGCCTCAGGTTTAGGGTAAGATGCTCTCTTCACCTCTCGCCTGTCTCCACACCTGTTGACTGGAACACACCGCGGAGGCTTCTTCTCGGGATTACAGTTCTTGATGAATGGTTTGGGTTTTTCTAAAGAAAAAGAAAATGAGGCAAGAGTAAGATAATTATTAGAAATTACATAGATTATTAAGCTCCATATGTTGTTTGAACAAGTAATGCACAAACTTTCCATCATAACTTGGTAAATAACCTCAAAGTGAAGTTCCTAAATTCATAAATTCACTCATAACAGAATATTTCATCTTGATTAGTAACATAGCTACAATACACACCAGTAATAGCCACACACTTGGTTGGTACGATAATAAATCAAATACCCCCGCTGCAGCAAACCTGCCGACTTGGCCAATTCCCATTTACCTGGATTGATTTTTAATTATTAATCTATTATAATAAACATAATAAACATGAATAAATAAATAAATATACATATATATATATATAAATGAATTTGAACGGATGGTGTTTTTGGCCTCTGGGGACATCAAAATGAAAAAGTAAATCGGTCCCGGGCCTAGGTCTTACCATGAGACCTACGGTAATAGCTACTTTCCTATAGGGAAATTCGCTAATATCAAAGACTAGTGGGGTTTTTTAATTTGGATCCATACAAGGCACCTCTGAGTGAGTTTTTCAAGGCGAAGATTAATAATGGACGATTTTTGAATGGGTGATTGAAATAATTTTGTTACTGACTAAGATAAAATCGTTCTTTTTCCAGGAGCATTTAAAATCTCAGTGATCAAGAACAGCTGGATGGCTGGATCCAGTTTCATACCATTTGAAGTTACATTCGATCTCAGGACAGAACAGATGAATACCTGTTGGAACAACAATTGGAACAGACAACCCTATGGATTTGAACTGTACTACTCTGTTAGTATTTTGCTCTCACCTTTGCAGCAGCGCGGATGGGCGATGCCAAGGCAGGCGAGGAAGGACATGGGCAGCAGGTTGAGCAGCAGGACCAGCAGATCGGCCAGGGTTGGTCCACAGAGTACAGAGTAGGACACGAAGGGTACACAAGTCCAGAGGTTACAACCATCCCTCTCAGCTGTGTAGCACACACTGCATCTCAGCTCTACTGCAGGGGTAAATAAACGTTAATTTATGATCGACTGAATCAATTTAGAGTTATATCAGAAATTTGTTCAGTTCACCTAGCCCATATAGTTTGAAGGATGTATACCAGCAAGCTTTTCCATATTTGAAAACTGAATCGGTGAAAATTGCATCATCTATTCATTACTATCATTTGTTGTGAATAGGATAGTCATCCCGAACTGGATTGGCAAAAAAGTGTCACGATTAATTTATTCGTGGTATCTGATAATAGGTTTAATTTTAAGTGTAAATACACTACTGGTTTATGGCAACCCACAAATTACACTCAGCAGCCAGCTTTGGTTCCAAGGCGATTCTGTCATTATAATTTGAAATGGGGACGTAGATGCGTATTTTTAGCCAAATATGTGTAAAGGAAGAGTGTATAATGGTGCGAGATGAACTGTGATCCTTTATTACTGGCTATGATCAGCTGTTTCATTAGCCAGTATCATGTTTATAGCCCATTGATCAGGGGTCCAATTTTAAACCATCAAAAAGCTATCCTAAACCTCAACATGAAAATAAGTTTATCGTTGTCACTTACCGAAACTACTTACTAAGTTCAACATTTGTACAAACATAAGCAGATATTAGCTCAATTTAAAACATATATGGGTAATACTTAATCTGTACTCTCTTCTTATATCTTTACCACACTATGAAATTTGAGTTGAAACTTTTCAGGACGTTTTTGTTAATTTATGGACAAACACAGACATTCTGATAAGGGATGCATATTAACTATACGTTGAGAATTTATTCTGAGTCAAATGAATGTTAGATGTCAAACAGGGATTTGATAGTCTCAGCAAGATGACAAGTATTTTTCGTATGCTGGTATTGTACTGTACAACGGTCGAGAAGAGAGGTTAGGAAGAGAAAGAGTGGGGACAGTTGGAATTGAAAATTTTCATCATGCATCCAATCCTCATTTTAAATCCAGTCAACAAGTGGTTACAAATCCAGTTTTAACTTGAACCGTAAGTAAACTTTTGATCCACCTTAGGTGTAAATTAACAACATTTGTAGTTTGGAATTCTATGTAATGGTAATATTTACATGGTGTTGGCGGGCAGCACTCGTAGACATCTTGGTTAGCTCTACCCTCTGTTCTGAATTTTTTCCCCTCACATCCGCCCTGGTATTCTGTCAAAAGACACAATTACAGTTGAAAAAAAACTAGCTGATTCATTATTTCTAACTAATGCCATGGAGTGAGGTGTAATAATTAAATTAATTCAAGTACCTCGACTCAGCTTTAAACGAAGTTTATTGGTTTTATTGGTGAATAAAACCAATAATTTTTATTAGCGGTATTATAATTTTAAAACACATCAGTGTGTCTTCACAATAAACGAGAACATTCTAAAAATTTGTCCAGTAGTTGTTGTAAAACTACTTTTGGTGACACGAAAAACGAATATATTTACAGAAACACATAGTAAAAGCACGTACTGTTTACCTGCCGTTGTGTTGGAGATTTCTTCCACTGATAATAATCAAGAATATCCTCGTTTGTAAGGTGTCACATTGACAAATATGTTAAACAAGTTTTCAGGGACCAAATACACCTTTAAACATGTAGAACTTTCAGCATAGCCAATGTGTTAAGGATTTTAGACGTCGAGCCATTTTAAGTACCATTTGAAAGACTAAAATAGCTTTGATGAAAATAAACTTGAATTAATTTTTGTGAAGTGATATTTTCTCAATTAATGAAGAAATGAGTGAAAGATAATAGTTGTTTGTGGCACTTAAGTTGTAGCTTTTTTATATACCTTAATACATTTAATATGATTTACTTCGTAAGTGTAGCGTTATCTTCATGTACACTGAAGTGTCATAAGAAGAGCATCTTTAAATCTTTTGATTTTACTATTTTAGTTTTCGCATGCGAGAATCTTCCCCGTGCCTGGTAGCTCAGTGGTATACATAGCGCAAGACCGACAACCACATGCACTATTTTCATTGCAGATACTATTTGGCTTTCCCATGTTATTTAATAAAAATAGTTCTCTATCCTTAGACAACCACAAGACCTGTGAGTCTATGATGACGAGCTGTTGATGTAAGTGATATATTTTAAATGTTTAAGAAGATTAATCATACAGTTGTTTTTCTTATTATTATGTCTAATATAGCACAAATACTGTAGTAGGTTGTAATGCAAAAGCTTACCACCAGATGAAGGCAAACATTCAAAAACGTTTTGCTTAGTTCTACCCTCTCTTTTGTAGCTGGTGCAAGGATTTCTTCCCCGATTTTGGAACGTTGCCATTCCAGACTACAAGAAAGAAATTTGATTACCTGACAGTACCATTTCCACGTATATCTATACTATATTTAGCCCCAGTAGGCCTAAATTTGCACTACTTAAACTTACGGCTTTTAACCTATGCCGTACTAGTCTAAAACTAACTACCAACATCCCAGAGGGATGGTACCCAGAGGGGAAGTTCACCTCGTCAAGGACTAAATAATCAGGTTACCATGCTGCAGACAAAGATTAAAACTTAACTACGCTAGTCTTCATTTACACGTATCAATAGCCATCCACAATAAAGGTTGAAAACAAATTAACATTGGAAAGACCTGTATACAAAGATAAATTTGGTTGGCAAGTAAACACCAATGAAGAACTCAGGTACTGAAAATAATTGATTAAAAACAAATTCTTTATATCTTTATCAATCATACTAAGCTGACAATATTAGATTGTATTTAGTACAGGCTAATTACGGAACCTACTGTTCATTCAAAGTCAGCCATGCATTTCATTCCTATTAAGCAATTTCAAATGATATGCAATGATTGAATAGTTCTATACGGTTTGAATACACATGAGACTCTATTCTCAAAACAGAACATATACTTATCTTATTATGGTCTAAACGTAAAATAATTTATCTATTAAATTCCTTACTCACCAAAAACTTAAATCTTGCAGTTTGTTTTTAGAAACATAACCTCAACAAAACCATACCTCACTTAAAATCTCACAGAATTTTCACAAATACTTTCAAACAATTCGCATTCAATTTACTCCCTGTCGTTATTTGGTGTTCATGTAAATACACTTTTGGAACAATTTAAAATCCGAAATTGATAACACATTTTGAATCTTCAAAATTTGTATTTGATCGAGTCTAAAATAAACAAATCCCATATGATGTTTAACTATTTTTTTTAGTGTTATGAGAAAATATGAAAACAGTTGTTAAAGGGAGATTTCACCAAACCAAATTATTCCAAGCATAGAGTACTGTAGTATCATACAAGATACTAAGATACAAGATACAATACATACAAGATACAAGATACTGTAGATTAAAACCAAAGCACGTTCGCTAACTTTAATCTTTCTTGGCTATTAAATCAAAATTCAAAATTAACAACAGAAAATAAATTACTTTTATACAAAACTATTCTAAAACCAGTGTGGACGTACGGTATCCAACTGTGGGTGACATCCAGTGAATCAAATCTGAACATCATCCAAAGTTACCAATCTAAGGTTCTAAGGCACTTTCTCCAGGCACCATGGTTAACGAAGTGCTTCACAGGGACAGTCGAACCCCAACGGTCAAAGAAGAAGTTTGCAGGTTAAGTGCTAAATACTTAAAGAAATTAGAGTACCATACTAACTACCTTGCTTTAATTTTAACTGTGTTTAGAAAATTATGGACTTTACTCTTTGTACCAATATGCAAAGTTTGTGTGTTAGCTTTATTGTTGGATAAAGACTACTGTATTTAAATTTTATCATATTTGCTTATTGTTCTATTTTTGTTAAACAGGTTGTAAATTAAATATGATGTTAAAAAAAAAGGATCCGTATTTGATCTAGTCTAAAATAAACAAATCACATATGATTTTCAACTAAGAAAATATTATGAAAACAGTTACCAAACCAAATTATTCCAAGTATAGAGTATCATAGATTAAACCCAACGTTATGTGCTCGTTGATTAAACCAAAACACGTTCGCTACCGATCGTCACATACATGCGATGCTGTGGTTATTCCCACGGACCGAGGTCTACATTTTAATATTGCACATATAGCCCGGATGTGGCTTGAAGGCCCAGTGATGCAGCAAAGTAAAAAAACAATTTTGCCAACTAACATATGACGTTACTAATCATCATATCCACAGACCACGAATACTACAAGTGATGCAGATGTGCGACAGACCATCGACAGACATCCCTGTAGACCACTGCCAGGGCTAGAGATATATAGATGTATACATACTAGAGATAAGTATATCTCTAGCCCTGAACCACTGATGAGAATTCAAGGCCTTCAAATAGACCGCTATGTGTATAGGTACTTGCTCTGTTCAAAGTTAGTGACACGTTTCAAGATTCTTAGACTTAGGGGTTGGCTCATCGTGGTGAAATAATTGCAACCAATTAAATTATGTGTTCTAATGTAACATAAACAATTGCAAACAAAACCGAGCACATTGAGAAAAGGAAATATCCGTTGATTACAATTGAGTAAAGAGTACAAAACATTTTTAATTAACATCAAATACTAAACATAAAAATTTGTGTTTTTCAAACAAGAATAAGCTTCTTTTTCCATAGGCGTTTGCTGATGTAGTTAAGTTGGTCTCTTGGGATGCACTATATGGTGTAAGGAATTTTTTAAGCCATAAGTTCGGTAATTTTTAAAAGCTTTGAGTTATTTACGTTATTATAACCATAACATAAATAACAATTTAAACGTTTGTTTCCGTCCGCCATTGTTAGTATACGTCCATGAACTCCTTATTGTAAGCTATAAAAATTTTGTGACAATGTTTGATACACCATTATTTTGATTTAAGTATTTGAAAAAAATACATAATGCTAAATTGACTTCAAGAAAAAAATCACACATGTATATGCTTGAAGTATGGTGTGGATTGGAATTCAATGAAAGTAATGTGAAACAATCATCTGGAGGGCCAATGTTGGAGTGTGCTGATGTTAGAGTTTTGTTCGTTGGTACACAATTGAGAACCAAGCCAAATAAACAAGATTTCTGTGGGTATCAGACTCAGTGTTTGTGAGAGTGGAATGCTCGGTTCTCAAAATTGTCGAATATTGCAGACGTTTTTCACGGTGGGTAGAATGATGGTCGTTATATCATTCACAGTTGCAAGACCCATCCACGCAGCCTTGGTAGGACGATCCTGATGTTGAAGGAACTCTGTTGAGGAACACGAAGCAGAAGACTCTACACATGTTGGCCTGGACACCCAGAGGGATCCAGTTGGCACACAACCAGTTGCTGCCTGCTGGTCTCAGCTGTCTTTCTACTCTCACTGGAACATACAACATTGTGTAAATCTTTGAGAGAAGGTAATCTGAGGAACACGAAGCAGAAGACTCTACACATGTTGGCCTGGACACCCAGAGGGATCCAGTTGGCACACAACCAGTTGCTGCCTGCTGGTCTCAGCTGTCTTTCTACTCTCACTGGAACATACAACATTGTGTAAATCTTTGAGAGAAGGTAATCTGAGGAACACGAAGCAGAAGACTCTACACATGTTGGCCTGGACACCCAGAGGGATCCAGTTGGCACACAACCAGTTGCTGCCTGCTGGTCTCAGCTGTCTTTCTACTCTCACTGGAACATACAACATTATGTGAAACTTTGAGAGAAGGCAATCTGATGAACACGAAGCAGAAGACTCTACACATGTTAGCCTGGACACCTAGAGGGATCCAGTTGGCACACAACCAGTTGCTGCCTGCTGGTCTCAGCTGTCTTTCTACTCTCACTGGAACATACAACATTGTGTAAATCTTTGAGAGAAGGTAATCTGAGGAACACGAAGCAGAAGACTCTACACATGTTGGCCTGGACACCCAGAGGGATCCAGTTGGCACACAACCAGTTGCTGCCTGCTGGTCTCAGCTGTAGTCTATACTTGCATAAACATTGTTTTGACATTTTGTTGAAATTAAAACAGCTGATTACATTGGGGATTAAGTTTTGGTAGGAGAGAGCCAAGTTAAATAATGAGTATTTGATTGGAATTTGGTACTATTTTCGCCTATATCGAGTTTCACCAAGGTTACACTAAAAAACCTTTTTTAGTTGTGTTTTTTTAGTGTGGAATTGGTTTCACCCAGCCAGGTTTTCATAGTCTACGTAAGGTATCCTAGGATAATATTTTTGGACCCAAGCAACAATATGCCAACAGAGGTTTCGCGCTTCAACCACTATGAGTTCTCTTATTAACTGTTTCAAATAATGTTTAATGCTCTCAATCAACTTTTATATAGACGAAGTTGGATTTTGTATGAAACATAGCACAGAGTAATTTAGAGGAGTGCCTAATATTAATACATTACCAGTTTCTAGTAATGTACAATAATGGTCTATTGAAACTTGTAATCAGCTTGTGACCGATTACAACAACCTGCTGCTGTGTACAATCAGTGCAACAAACAATAGAGCATCACAATGCGAGCTTGGGCTCTTATCAGGGTTTGATATACAACTACTGTAGCAGTTCAAACTAGGTAATCATATTTCAGATAAACTGATTGCATTCATTTGACTCACTAATTACTAAATGTTAACATATGTTTTATTTACATTTTATTTCTAACATGTGTTAAAATAATTAAATAGAGGAGGAGGTGTTAACATATGTTTTATTTACATTTTATTTCTAACATGTGTTCAAATTATTCTTTTGTTTACCTGTTGAATTGTTTATGTTTACTTACAGATTGTGATTTAATCAAAACTTACCTTCTATTTTCTTATACAAAATGTGAACTTTTATTAGTAAAATTAGTGGAATCAACACTAAATAAACCGTGAAGTTCTTTTAACTTTTTTTTCAAAACAGACATATAAATATGAAGATTTGATTCAAATAATAAGGGTAGTGCTAGTGACGTTAGATTGCAGAGATATGGTTAAATATAATTGTTTCCATGAATACAAAGTCTGAAATTCGGATTTAAAGAATGAATATTCTTCAAATTATTATCTTTATTATGTTCTCGTTGATTGACCCTAGCTTATGATTTTTACTGAATGACTGTTGGTTGAAGAAGTTTTCCAATGCAGAAGAGGTTTTTTTACCTTTGATCAAGGACAGCTAGGTCCAGTTTCGAATTACCAAATGCTTATCGTACCTTTCAAGACCTAATCTCTTGTTGTTAGATGGACACTATAACCCCTCAGCTACCCAACCATATAATATGGTCGATTAAAAAATGATAATTCACGGTAATTTAGATATTGTATAATAATTTTCATCCAAATCGTTAGCGTAGTTTTTGGGACACCCAAGATACACAAATACAAGTTAAATATACGCCCGTGCCAAAATTAACCGAATGGACCATCAAATACTCAGTTGAAGGATTTGATCGACTTGTATCAAATCTATGAAGAGATTTAATTGGGTTGGCACGAGCCCAGCTGAAAGGGTGGTACTTTGCCGAACAGCTGGTCGATAGCCTTTATTGAAAGGCCAACTGCGTTCCGCGTGATCCCTCGTACGTATAATCCCCAATATTGGATGACAATCTCGAATCTATGTGGATTAAATTTTACCTTCAACTGCGAAGAGGTGAAACTGGCCACTATACTAAAATCGTGTTTGTGTAGTGAAAATTGTTTAAATTTGTATTTTAATTTAAATGTATTATTTGATTAAATATTTAAGAATAAATCTTAGCTAAGAAGCAATATACAACATATTGTTCTAAGTATTCTCACTGTCTGTGGGTATTAATAGAAACCCACTGTTGCAAAAACTAGGGTTTTTTACTCTTCATTAAAATATCTTGTGGTATTAAATAATTGCTTTATCAGGTTTCTTAAAAGAATTTGAAGGCATGATTATCAACAAGTATTACTGTGCGTTTAATTAGCATTAAGGTATTATTTATGGGTATATACGACTTTGATGCCATTTTGAATTTATGAATATTGTAAATCATGATAATATATATGATAAAAAATTAGCTATATCTCTGATACTTTTATTTCCCTAACGTGTTTATCAACAAAATTTGGCTAATCTTAAAAAATAAATCTTAAATATTAATTTTGTTGATAAAAATATAACTACACTATTCATTGCTATGCTCACTACATAACAATTGAGTTTAATTT